ATTAGCCAAGAAATAAGATAAAACTTTTTTTTTTGTGCAATGATAGATTCAAAATGGAGGGCAAGTGTTATATAGAAGAGGCTTGAGGGGATGTGATTAATGAGCAAAAGAAATGTTGCTTTAGTGTTTGTAATGACTACAGTATTTATTTTGGACTTTTTTAAATAGAATTTGTTGAATTTTGTGTAAAATTTGCCAAATTACAAAATTCTATGCAGTTTATAGGGTAATTCTGATAGTTGAATGGCCAGAAGGGATACAAGGATTTGGGTATAATTGAGCAGAGGAATTGGTTGAAAATAGGCTTTAAATTGGGTGAAATTGCTGATGTGTTAATTGCGACCAGACATCCAACTTCGTGAATGTGTAATTCAGTAACTTTTTCATTAAGTTTTGTATACTTAGTGTCATTACCTTCAGAAAAAGATACTCTACCACTGTAGATTTTTTTTTAATTTGCAACACTTTCAGCAGTTCATTTCAAAGGTCATTGCAGTGAAATAGTATAGAATAAGGTTTTATTAAGTTGGTAATTAATGATACTTCATGAGCTAGTGACAAGACTACACTGATAACAGATGCATTTGGGATGCCCTTATGTGGTATTAAAAGCTTATCAAGCAGAATTAAGATTTGTAGCATTGTTGCTTGCTTGTATATTTTCTGATACAGGTACAAAACTGATTTTTTTTGGCACTCTTGGTTCCTAGGCCTTTCCAGATATCGATTTTGCCGCATCAACGGAGGTCAAATAATAATGATAATTAAGCAATGAACCTCTGACCCACCATGGTCTTCTAGAAACATGAATTAAACATTAGTATAAATAAAACAGGTTTATTAATTACTGTACTTACAAAGAATGTTGCAGTACTGTCTTTCCCAAAGCACAGTACTGTACAATAAAATACAACTTTTATTTCTTTATGCAGTACATTGGTAGGCAAAAAGCCACTAATTAGGCAATGCAATTTGGGAAAAACTAATAATAAGGCTTAAATGTTACCTAACCCTTAAACTGTCCAAACGTATATCTACGTTCACTCGCGCAGCACTCCGAACATAGATCTAGGTTTTTTACATAAGAAAGCATATAAAATTTAATGTAGATCTACGTTCGGAGCACTACGTGAGCGAACGTAGATCTATGTTTGGACAGTTTGAGGAATCAGAACTAGACAGACTATTAGTAGGACTTTGTATACAGTTAGCTACAATCATAAGTACAATAAGAAAGGTAGCTAATGGCAGATGGTCAAATATCAAAGAATTACATATTTCAAACAACTGATTCAGTGATCTTCAGTTTTGTGGAGTGATTGAATAAAGATGAAGATACAGCAAGTTACAATAGAAATAGAGTAGGACAAGATGTGTTACCAGTTATGTATGGGAGCTGAGGGAAAGCTAGAAGAAAAACCAGGACAAACTTGGATAAAAGCTGATTTGTTTGACATAGGGTATTGCATTAAGGAGATAACCTGGAGTATACCTGGAGAGGGTTTTGGGGGGCCAACACCCCCACGGCCCTGTCTGAGACCAGGCATCGTGGTGGATCAGGATCTAATTAAGCAGGCTGTTACTGCTGGCTGCACGCGAACTGACATATGAACCACAGCCTGGCTGGTCAGGTACTGACTTAGGTGCCTGTCCAGTGCTTTCTTGAAGACAGCGGGGGGTCTATTGTTTAATCCTCCATTAGTTCTGAATCTGTTGACAGATAAGGGGTCTTTTGATGCTTCAGGCAGGGAGGTTTCTAAATCTTAGGGCCTTTTATGTGCATTGAGGTTTTACACAGGTTGAGTCAGACATGGAGGCTGTCAAAGAGGTTTTTATGCCATATGTTATGCCTTTGTGTTTTGTTGCATCTGTCAAGGTAAAGTTTCAGAGAAAGAGTTATATGGAATTGACTGTCCTATATATACAATAGGCACAGTAGAATGAGTGCATATTTTGTATATTGAGTTCAAGATTTTGAAGAGTAGGGGAGTGTGTTGTCTATCACCAGAGTGGGTGATTGTCCACACAGCGGCTTTTTGTTGGGTTATTAATGGGTTTAGGCGATTTGGTGTAGTAGATCCTTAAGCACAAATACCATAGATGAGTTAAGGATAGATTAGAGAGTACAATATAAGTAGTGTTGTTTGAGGTACACAGTAATGTATCTTGGAGAGGATGCCTACTGTTTTGGAGGCCTTTTAGTTAGGTGTTGGATGTGCTTTTAAATTTTAAGTTGCAGTCAAAGTGTAGACCTAAAAAATTTCCTCATGGTGTGTCTTACAGTTGGAAAACCATTAAAACATTATACAGTGGACCCCCGGTTAACGATATTTTTTCACTCCAGAAGTATGTTCAGGTGCCAGTACTGACCGAATTTGTTCCCATAAGGAATGTTGTGAAGTAGATTAGTCCATTTCAGACCCCCAAACATACACGTACAAATGCACTTACATAAATACACTTACATAATTGGTCGCATTCGGAGGTGATCGTTATGCGGGGGTCCACTGTATTTAGTTGGAGTTTTGAAGCTCTCTTTCCAAACATGTAGTAGGTTTTGTTAATAATAAGGGTGAATTTGAAGCCATAGGATTTTCAAATGAAGACCTACTGCTGTGGCACACATTTTTCTTGGGTGGGTATCTTTTTAAATCTTTCAGAGTCGAGAGGCCCTCTTCTAAACTCGTTCTCAGGGTCGAAAATTTTTCGGAAAAAAATTTTCTTCTTATGAAATGATAGAGAATCTTTTCCCGATCATAATGACACCAAAAGTATGAAATTTGATGGAAAACTTATGGAATTATGCTCTCCCCGAAGTTAGCGGTCTCGAAGGTGTTTACGCATCAGCAATTTCACCCACTTTGAGCCCTATTTTTGGCCAATTCCAGTGTACTAGCCGACAGAAATCATATCTATTTCACTAGAACTTTATTTTCTCTATCGAATGAGTACAAGAAACCACCCATTCACCGATTTCAACTATCTAATAAAAATGGTCAGAAATTGGCAATTTTGCCAATTTCACACAAATTTCAGAAGATGCCAATTTCCAAATAGGGTCCAGAATAAACAAGACAGACATTCCTGGCACTAAAATAATATTTCCTCTGTTCATTAGTCACGTCCCATCCCCCTCTTACATCTCTTTAGCTTTTCACTTTGAATTTTTATTCTCACAAAAAATAGAAGATTTACTGTTATGCAGACTACTGCATTAGTGTAGAAATGGTATAAATAATATCAGCGCACTTGTGAAAGAATATTAGACTCACCAGTTGACGTTTATTGGAAGCTTGGCATGATATGTTAACTTTTGATCTTTGGTAAAAATCAAACATTTCTGCTACTTAGAGCTCAATTTCAAGGTCTTTTCATTATAAAAACCAATCAAAATCATCTCAATTTCTGTAATATGTCTTCCATTCTATAAAATGAGACCAGGAAAACTAAAATACAACCATAAATATCATACGAAATACACTGCAAAGTCGCTGTTTTAAACCAAAAACACAGTCGGAGATTTTTTTTTTCTCATTATGCACTGTGTGCTGCAGGATTTTTTTTTATACTGTGCCACTGACCAAATAGACCCATTCTTTCATATGTAGGCCTACCAGCTTTCTCTCGCTAGATTTCAAGGCGCTAGAATTTAGGCATACTAGTACGTCAATATCCTTGGTGCGTAAGCCGTACTAGTACGTTGGGAACCCTGAAAGAGTTAAATATTTTATCCAAGTGAAGTAATTTCAGGTGCTTTGATCTGTCTCTGTATAATTTGTTGTACATCAAATAAAAATTTATTAGCTCTTGTTCTGACACATGGGAATGTTGTTCCTTTGTGTCAGAACAAGAGCTTATAAATAAGGAACGTTATTCTTTTGTGACACTTAGTTAACCCTAACCATAGCTAGGGTTAATTGTAATCAAAATACCCTAAGAATTGCACAAAATCCAGGGATCACCACCAACAACTTTAGTGTAAACAGCCTAAGTGAATATGTGCTATATATAATGCCATCTGTGGCCACCCAGTAAATTAGTCTGACAAAAAACTAGTCTTGTAATTTTGTCTGGACAAAAGAGGTTGCTGGCCCATACATTACCAGATAATCATTGTTGTACCTGTATCGGAAAATCTTTTATTTAGTTCAAGTTTGTGTGTGGGCGAGACAGATTGAGGCCTTTACTTGTGTGTAGTATATTACAGGAGGCTTTCAGCTCATAAACTATTTGTGTTCTTGAATTTTTAACTTACACTCGAGTTGTTTGTGTAGAAAAAGATGTATGTACAGGATGGTTGTACTTCCCACATTTGTTCTGTGGTTCAACAGTTGTGAAACTTTAATTGGTGCTTAAGTGCCTAGTTTGTAAGTTTGTGTATCTGAGCATTTGTAAGTTGAAAATGACCTGTACTGCATAGCAGGGTCCCGTTTTATGCACTCCCCAGTAACGAACATCTGCACTTATTTGACGAGGCCTATAAAACTGCACTGGTACCCAGAGTTTTCATACAGCTCCCAACTCGAACAATTATGTAAGTGTATTATTGTAAGTGCTTTTGTAAGTGTATTTTTGAGGGTCTGAAATGGACTAATCTAATTAACGTTATTCCTTATGGGAAAAAAATTCGTTCGGTAACATCACTCTAACAGCCTTCTGGAACGAATTATGACCGAAACTCAGGGTACCACTGTAATTGATTTACAAATACCAATGTGCACTTATGAATGTTTTTTATAGGAAAAATAAGTCTCAAGTTGCAAACAACTTGTTCACAAGTTGAATCACCAGGATCACATGTTGTTTGTTAGTTGAACTTCTCTGTAATGTATGACACTATGAAAGGTTTGGTGTCAATGAATATCTTGACACCTTTGTTTTTATCTCAGTAATTGTCTGTGCTTATCTTAAAAGTGCTTCCCCACACATGAAAGGTTAGGAGTGGGGGAGGTATAAACGTGAGGATGACTGTTACACTTTAGTGTACTTTATCCCATCAGGAACTACAGCCGTGATCGCCGTCTTAGATGGAGAACTGTTGATCTCGGCAATGTAGGAGACTCGAGAGCTGTCATGGGCGACCTCAAGGGATCAACTATTCCACTTTCATTTGATCATAAGCCAAATCAAGTAAGGACTAAAGACACTCGTATGTAAAAACAAGATACTATTTTGAAGTGAGTAAATGACACTAAATATAATATCTAATGGGCAAAAAGTACATTCAGTACAGTACAGCATTAGAAATTAGGAATCCACAGAATATTTACCTTTGACTAGGTAATGAGTTTTTTGGTGGGCCTGATGACTTTCCCCCCTAGAAAACTTCATAAAAAATCCTTTCCTTTCATCAAAGACAATATTTTCTATGCTTAGTAGGGTTTGATAACTAGAAGGTGTCAGGTGTATGTAGAGATTCTACTCGAACTTAATTTGTGCAGTATTAGCTTTGCAAAAAAATAAAATTTTTGTACAGTATTAGTTTTTAAAATTTAACATTTACCTTCAAAGGTATATCAAAGGTTGTTAAAAATTAAACTTTAATTCAGATTTTACCAGTGAACACACCTTCACCCCTGTTTTCTTTCTCAAATAGCTTACTAAACTAAACTTATTAAACTAAATAATGTGCATTTCTTCAGGTCAATAACATAAGAGGTTATTACAGTACATGCAAATAATCTGTATCACTGTATCATGTATTACAAAATCAGTATTCTTTGGCATCCTTAAAATTCCTTGAAAGGTTCCCCAGTATTTTCAGTTGTAGTGCACAACTAAGAAAACTACCTCCAGGGTAATAAAAAGTAAAAACTCTCTCAGTTGCATAAGCAGCATCACAGATGGGAATAATCTTTTTCTTTGTGAAAAAGTGTTGTACAGGTCACCCATCAATAATCCCACATCATTGGGATCTATGGTGTGCCGGATTAGTGAGTTTGCCGGATTACAGAGTGGTTAGGTTAGAATGCACTTAATTAACCCTTTCAGGGTTTTAAGGCAAAATCTGAAAGGGTGCCCCAATGTCCAAGAAATTTTGAAAAAAAAAAAAAAAATCTTACAGAATTAAAGATTATATTTTTGTGAAGGTAATAAAACAAAAAAAAAAATTCTGATCAGTACTTACCAAGATATAGAGGCGGGAAGTTGACCCAAAATGACCGGGTGGCGGCAACATCAGCAATTTCCACAGAATCACATTTCTTTATTTTGCGTTTTTTATACTTTTATCTTTTCTTTTCTAATTTTTTTCTTTTTCTAGTAACATTTGTGGCCTGTGAGGCCAATACTGTATATAATGTATATATATACACTCACTGTATTGAACACAATAACCTTACTAAGGTTATTATTATAATATTGTTTACCTCTATTGTTTACTACAATAAACATGCACAAATGTTGTATAATACTAATGTTCTATTATATATTTACATATGTACAGTCACTGGACATGTTTCTAGAACTGCTGCAGCTTGTGGAATTCCTTGAAACAAGGTACCATGCACAGAGGTACCTTACATTCCTCACACATAAAGCGAGTGTCTTTGCGTCTTTGTTGCCGTCGTTTTGTTTGTGCACAGACAACACATCTCTTCTGAACAAATTTCTTCTTAGTTGCAGGAAGCTGTATTATGAAATGATCACCTTCTCTCCTCAAACGCTTGGGTATTTCCTAAGGAGTTCAAAGACGGTTTTGTATAGGTGTTGTTACCTGGTACTTCATCATGAGTTGTCTGACAACAGACAAACAAAATTCACTATATGGTGGTCTGTTGCCGGTCTTCATTTGGTACATATTATATGCATTGAGCATTGAAATGTCCATGAGATGGAAGAAAAGTTTCATGTACCGCTTGTAACCCTTCTGAACACAATCAACAAAGCCTATCTGCATGTCACATTTGTCAACCAAACACATGTTTTGTGTATAATCAATCAATGTCACTGGTTTTCAAACATGTTCATTAGTCACTCTATCAACTTTGCCACTGTCTTGCATTTTGTTAGGGTGAATGGTTGTCAACAATGTGACATCTTGTTTGTCATGCCACCGTAATACCATGATGTCATTGGCAGTAAACACCTGCACCTCACCAGCACGAGTGCCTACGTTGAACCTGGGCATATGTTTACGATTAGAATGCACTGTGCCACACACATCTGTCATGTTCACTCACAAGAAATCAATGAGTAAAGGGCTTGTGTACCAGTTATCAGTATATAATGTATGCCCCTTACCAAGATAAGGTGCCATCGTGCTTCTCACTACGTCACCTGAGATACCCAATAACATCCTGGTATCTTTCAATGTTTTACTTCCTGTGTATACAATAACATCCAATACCAGGCCACTGTCACAGTCACAGTACAAACAGTTTTATACCAAAGCGTTTCCTCTTGCTTCATATATACTGCTTGAATGACAATCTACCTTTGAACAAAATCAAAGACTCGTCAATTACAAGATTCTTGAATGGATGAAAGTACATGTTGAACTTTTGTTTCAGATACATAAAAACATTTCTAATCTTGTATAACCTGTCACTTCTGTCAGGCCTGGTTTTGTCAGAGAAGTGCAACATACGTAACAGTAAGATAACCCTGTTCACTGGGATGATTTCACTGAAGGCCGTGGTACAAATTAGCCGATCTGTGGACCAGTATGATTTTATATTATGCTTATAGACACGAGGCATAAGCATTATTGTTGCAGAAAGAAATACATTTCAGCCACAGTTGTCTCTTTCCACCGGTGTAGTCTTGGCTGTGGTGATATGATCGTATTTGCCATGGTGTACTCAAAATACTTGTTACTTTCCCTGACAATAGTTTCCATCAAGGGCTTGTCAAAGAATAGTTCAAAGAATTCCAGTTCATTTGCAGTGTTTCCAAGGGAACAAGTTGGTAGGATTCCACTTTGCGAGTCATCAAATTGGTGGAGCTTGGGAACAAAATTGGGATTTTGCTGCCAATCCCAGATACAGTTTGCTGGTGGATACTGGACATCATAAGCTGGTTGTGGTTGTGGTGGGGTGGTGGCTGACGCTCCACTTTTTCCCTGAGCTGAGGAGCCAGCGGCGTGGGTCCCAGCCTGGGCTGGTGAGTCATTCATGGCCATGGCACAACCATCACCACTACCACTATCACCACCAATACCACCACCTGCTGATGCCTGTGGGCTATCCATGCCAAGTGTAGCCACATCATCCTCACTTTCACTGTCTATTCCTGGTGTAGGGCCACGGGATGTACTCCGTCCCCTGGGCACTGCATAGAGATCACTACCTGAGCGCATGCGGCGGCGTATATACCAACGCTTCACTGGTGAATATGATTCCTCTCTATCACTATTCGAATGATCGTCAAGAGCAATAAAATCACAGTCCACATCACTACCATCATCATTACTGAAGTCTGAAGCCTGGCCACGTGAAAATATTAGTTTTCTCTTGCGACGAGGTACAATTTAACATGACTAAGACGTGCCCACACCAGGGGTAGAAGATTGAGGATCGTCAGGATTTTCTGCACTATTTTTGATATCCTGGTCATTCCTTTCGGTCACTAATTGATCAAAGCCATAGAATTCTTCTTCATTTCCACTTCCGTCAGAGTCAGAACTATCAGTTACGAAGAGGAGAGTCCTAATTCACCTTGGATTGAGAGCTGCCTTGCGACGAGGCATGGTGAACAAAGGTAACTGAGGTGGCGTTCCCACAATGCCATGCAAGCACCTAGAATTTTTGGTTATGGCGCACACACACCATGGAGACCCGTTCTCTCAGATGTAGGCCTACCAGCCTTCTCACGCTAAATTTGACGCCGCTAGAATTTTGGCGTAGATCTACGGCACGGACCTTGAAAGGGTTAACCTATCAATAGAGAGACTTTCTGCTACATCTTCCTCATTTTCATCACTGCTTTCTCCTCCACTGGCTTGCTGCTGTGGATTTACGACCATCTGCACAATTTCTGAGTCAGTTTAATGATGAAATTTTAAATTATGCTAGCCAAAATTAGTGCCGGATTACTGATAGAACCGGATAAACTGATTGCCGGATTAGTGACGGCCAGCCTGTACTGAGAAGCAAAAGTGTCATTGTTAGAGTAGGGCTGAAGAGTTTCAATAGCCCAATGAATATAATAATCATACCTCAGAAATTTAGGAACCATTACTCATGACTTGTCACAGCACAAGAAATTTTAAGAGACTGTAGTGTGAAGAAACTATAGGAGCCAAGTGTACAGGTCTCCTTCAACATTCACGCTTTCAACTTTCACGGGCTTCACACATTCGCGAATTCCCAACCGCCAAATTCCCAGCCACCAAATTCCCAGCCGCCAAATCATATTTAAGTTTCCCGCCACCTGCGAGTCCCTACTACCCTCCCTCCGACCCCTGCAACTGGCAGCCAGCCCTCCCACCACTCAGTGTGGTGAGTGTTTTGTTTGTTCATTATTTGCTATTAAACTACAGTATAAATAATGTAAACCCATTCATGACTGCATATTGGAATGGCTATTCGGACAGGTATTAGACGGTGACATCATGTGTTTACTCTTGAACACTGCAGAGAATTAAACTTTTCTGCTACAGTAATAATAACAATAGAAATTTAATAATAATAATAATAATAATAAAAATAAATAGATATAATTGAAGAAGGAAATTGTACAAAAATACGAGGGAGTGGCTGAACATCGTCAGTGTGACTTTGTTTATGCTGGAGTGAACATTAGTCTCCCTGCTTTCCAAACATTTCACAATAATTCATTGTGTTTGGTGCTTGTAGATTGAGTGTGACGGGAGTGGTAAAAGCATTTGATTGAGGCAATGGTATTTAATAACATGCATGTTAATAATAAACATGTTATTAATAATATGTACTATTATTATTTATAACATATATGTTATTAAATACATACACGTTAATAATAATACTTTGTTATTAATAATAACATGTACTCTTATTATTTAAACTTTATATGTTATTAAATACCACTCCCTTTCAACCGCTGAATTATTGTGAAATTTTTGGAAGAGAGGGGGGAACTAATGTTTACTCCAGCATAACAAAGTCACACTGACGATGTGTCAACCACTCCCTCGTTTTTGGTACAATTTC